GGGGGGGGTGGTTATAAAACAAATACATTTTAAAAAATGTTTTTGCTTCTTCTAATATGACTTCTGTTGCTAAACGTGTTGTTGCTGCTACAAGTACTGGTGTGTTGTTACAACCAGCTAGACCCAACTTTTAAATTGTGTGATAGAAACGGACCAAATGTCCCACTGAGAACGACACATGTGCAAAGAGCGCAATTCTGTTATCGGGGTTTAAGTCTTTCTTTGAACATTCCCAGCACTCTTTGAGTTTAAAAAATCTATATATTGATCTCCATTCGACACAGAGAGAAAGACCAATAGGATCGGCATGGCTGTTTATTTTGGAGACAACCTCAACTACAGGCAGTTTTAAGGAAGTCGTTTATGGCAGGGCGACCCCAGCGAGAAAAGAGGCGAAAATTTCCGTTTTTAGCCAAATGAAAATGAAAGTGAAATATTATGAGGACGAAAGGATTTGGTTACAACGGGAGCCTCGGTATGTGAAGAAGTCCGCAGAAGCGATGCGTGAATCTTTGCTGTGGTGGGTTCCTAGTGTTGTTTTGTAATAGTGCCGTTTCATGTAATAATTCGAATTTTTAGGTTTCACCTTGCAACAGTGTTAGCGTACCGTCAAAGACATCCAGCCATGGTGTTATGCTACCCTAGTTCGAATCATCAGTGAGGTTTTAAATTCTGGCTATTTGGGTGAGTTTTCTATGCCTTCATACCACCCCCACCCCCACTCCGTAAATCCTTTTTCATGGGTTCAAGCTTTTCGGGCACTTTTTTTCGGAGGCCCTGCATTCAATTATTATGATCTTACAGCTCTGAAAGGGGTGTTTAACCTGGCTGAAAGCGAATTCCGATGGCAATAATAAGTACATGTAATCTATACACACAATGACGTAAAAGTACTGTCGTAGATAAAGTGTATACATTTAAAAATAGTAACACATCTTTCTAGTTCTATGTGGAGATTTGGGCTGAGACAGGTACTTGTATCATGTTCAAACTGGAAACTGCTTGTCCTTTGAATAACTGTGAATAAGCCTGCATGCGTAATTAGTAATTGTAACGGTGGTAAGAACTTCGTAGCGAATTTTAATCGCGCTGTTGTTCAAATAGAAGCTACTCATGATTAAATGCAGATACGTGGCAGTGAGGAAGAAAATATTATCCTTGCGTCTTCAGAGAAATAATTGGGTCTAGGTTGTCACATAGGCCGTCTTTGCTTGTTTGAGGCAATGAAAACCAACCCACCCCCCCTCCCCAAGAAAAAAGAAAACCTCATACAGCTATGGAATAACTCCCTCAGCAGCTAATCCAACCACCTTTATAACTCTTGCTGAATTTTTTATTCACCTGAAAGCCTAGTGACAAGCGACTCTTTCTTTGTGCAGCTCGTGGCATAGCGTTCCCTTTCCCTATCAAAAGGCATTCATTTCCTACAACGCGTGCGCCATCTAATCTGAAAAAGAACTTAATTTCGTAAACAGGTAGCGTATTTCTTCTTTTTTTTTTCAACTGTCCAAAAAAATATCTTAATCCTTGAGGAGCAGATCTTACAGACAACACCAAGTACTATCAAGATTAGAGTGGTATGGGACTCCTGACTATGAAGGTAGAGTGTTCGACAAAGGTGAAATATAGAAAGAAAAGAAAACCAGCGGTTTGTACGTGAAAAAAAAATCATTTGTTATTTTTAAAAAGACTACTTTAAACTAGGAACGTGATGCGCACTGCGACATGGGTGCTGGAAAAAGTGGGTGATGTTTTGTGAACATATTGTTTTGATGTAATTGCCATAGATCTGCGGATTATTGGATGCAGCATTTACTCTCGAGAACATAAGTGCAGGAAAGTTGAACTCTTGGAAATAAACGCTTGAAAGCCAATCTAGACAGTTTCTCTGTTGGGGAGAAGTTAGGAAATTATTTTTATGATATTCTGTGAACATGATTCAATTCACCTTTCCAAGGAAATAAAATGTTTGCTTTCAGTCACACCTGATCGTAAATTCGACATGAAAACAAAATGTTCATGCCCGTCGGAGTCAGAGTGAAGATTGGAAAAAATCTGGATTGTTTTCCTATATTTATAGTATAGTCACGCTAATTTACATATTGTGCTCTCCTCCCTCCGCGAAATAAAACAAAAACAAAACGATAATGACGTAGGCATGGGCACAGCGAGCAGAGTACGTACAATTCAAAAGTTTAGAAATTAAGAAACTGCATAAATGTATAATATTGACATATTGTCGTGAGAAGAGAGATGACATTGATTTATAACTTAGCAACTAAAACAAATCAAAGGCTGGAAGTCGTTTGCTAGCATAGACTTAGATCCACTTGCTAGCATTTCATTAAAGATCGTTCATCGTTATGTACGATCTTTGATTGCACTGAAGAGGTTATAAATTAAGAACCAGAGGTCTTAGCTATGACGTCACAAGTGTCCAACTTGAGGGGCGCGATTTTTGAGATTGTTTACCTTTAAATGAGCCAGATAATCTCCAAATAATGCAAATAAGGCCCTTTTTTGCACGGTGCGTAACATTTAGAAAACATAAATGAGTTGGACTTGATGATCACTTGTCAAAATAAAGAGACATAATTTTATAAACCTTTTGCTGTTCGTCGCTAAAACAGTATGTCTGTATTTGCACCGCTGACCACACCAGGGCGCTCATATCGGCCTTCTGGAATCAGAAATGAGAATGAAAAAACGGCTAGAAGCTTCAGCTGCAACTCGAGCTCACCTTCAAGGCTGGCTGAGCGGAAAAGAACCACTGTCGATGTTGTTGAGATAAGAGAATATTAAGTACCCTACCCACCAACAAGACCGCGTAATATTCTGTCTCATTTGTGGAACAAATGTCAAACAGCATGTGCAACAGCAGCGGCAGGGGTTCATGGAATACGGGGTGTTTTGTAGACAAACATCATTGCCAATCAACGCCAATTTAAAAGAAAACAACGTTGTGAACGTTTAAGAAGAACCGGTTATGTATGTAAGTGTTGCATTTTAAAATTTTGTCGGTATGTCATCATTTGTGCCCGATATGAAACGACGCTCAGGATCCATACAATAAGTGGCTTACAGTATCCCAGCCTACAATTAATTTATCATTTTGAGACAATGGCGAATTAATGTATCAGATAATTAACCCAGTCTTAACCCCTAATATACTCTGTGAAGACTTAGGTTTTGCATCAGTAGAAGGGGAGTGTAGACAACATGACATAAAAGCAATCCATTTAGTAAGTATGAAATTGTACTTTTTCTTAACAAACTCAATTACTCATTTTATCTCCCTCCACCCCTCCCCCACCCCACTCGGGAAAAA